ATCTTACAGTTTCTTAAACGACGATAACTGTTTGATATAATACCAAACAGTTACCATATTATGTTCAAAATTTAATAACTATTATATTAAATAGGGAAATATACACATGTGATGCACAAGAAGTGTATAATAATAACGTATAATATAATATAAATATAAAGTATAATAATAACGATAATAAACTAATTATCCATGTATTTCGCTTTTTTCCGATAAACTAGTTTGTCTTTACATTTAAAGTGATATTTCCGCGTTAACTTCCGCGTTAACTTCACGTTTTTTCTTAAAGAGACGGCATTTTATTTAATATGCAATTATATAACTCGTTATTGAAAATGAAATATCTCATTCAAAATCAACAAACGTCTAATCAATTTTTGTAGATAATATAAATAGTGTTGCTTTATAGTTATGAAGTTATTCAAGTTATCCAGTCATTCAAGTTTTTCAAGTTATTCAAGTTTTTCAGTAAAGATAGTAATGGCATCATCTGGTAGAAGAGTTACATTAGCAACATTTTTGAGTTGGGGTAAAGATGGAGTCTGTGGAAAAGAAACTGAGGTGGAGAATGGAACAATTTTTGTTGTGAAGATATGGTGTATGGTTTGTATAAAATATAAAAAAGAATTGCTTCGCGAGTTAAAAGGTCTGGCAAAATCAAAAGCATTAGCATTTATAGAGGGCACTACGAACGTTAAAGCTAGCAACATACATACGCTTATATACATGCTTATATTGTATATAAAGTAACGGAAGCCCCGGTATCTTAAGAAATTATTAGTACTTCTAAATAAAAACTTATTTTATTAAAAGAAATTAGATTTCAAATTTTTTATTCACGTATCAGAATAACTATTTCCGATCAGGATAGGCATAGGTAAAGCAAAGTTATAAAAATATAAATAACAGTTTAAGTTTTTAATTTGCACGCCCAATAGAATGCAAGAGTATATAAATAATTGAATTTGAAAAATAACATAGTTACGTATCATATTACCAAGCTAATACCAAACAATTCTAAAACTATCGAGCTCATTGATTCAAGGTTAAAAAAAAAAAAGATTTCAAACTATTTGCTGAATAATTAAAAAAATTAGATTTTGAAAACATTATGTAATATTTTTATTCACAAAGAATAAGAGAAACGAATGAACTAAAAAAGCACGATAAAAACCTGTATAATTTAATCGAATACTTAAATAAAACAATAATATATAAATATACTCAAAAAGACTTCGGTAAAAAAACACGTTAGGATGCTTGAATAAGGAAACGTGATGAAACGCCATGGTTGTTTCGAGGATTTTTCCCGTCGTTTTCAAGTTCATTCGTTAGACAATATCTGCCAGATATTATCTGGAATAAAGATTAAAAAAAAAAAAACATAAAAAACTGAATAAAGTTCCTTCGAGTAAGAAATTTAAACAAAAGCAACCATAAAACAACTAACCCACGTGAAACGAAATTAGATCTGTGCAAGTGAAAACTTTGAAAAACAATTATTGAAATCTTAGTTTTAAGTATTATCCAACTCATTTACGGCAGTGTTTTAATTACTTAAGTAATTAAGCATTTTAAACAGTTAATCGCTTTCTAACATATTATTTTAGTGCAATTCACAAAATGTTTAATATTCAATGACATTTTCATTCAAAAAGAACAAGAGAAATTAACAAATTTAAAAAAAAAAAAGTTCAAACTTTAGAATTTTTTTTAAAGTTTAAAAAAGCCCGTGCAAGACCATCTAGACGGGCGGCCCTCATAGCCCGTCAAGTCTATTTAAGACGGGCTTTTCATAGCCCGTACGGTTTTTATTCCTGCCGAAGCCTGTATATATATATATATATATATATATATATATATATATATATATATATATATATATATATATATATATATATATATATATATATATATGTAAATATATGTATATATATATAAATAAAAAAATTTGGTAGAAAATAATAGTATTTAGAACTTGCTTAACGCTTTTAAAGTTATTAATATTTGTGTTGAAACCTATGATTGCAAGTAAAATAACCTGCAGAACACTCCTATGACAGTTGTAGATAAATTGTTATCTAAAACTTTGTTCATAGCCAAAATCTAAATCATCGTCTGTGTCCTATTGCTTATGGACCATCAACTGTAACTTGGCATCAACTGCAGAGGACTTAGTTGGTGCCTTAGTTGAGTTGAAGTTTTTTTCTATGGTTCTAAACGACTTGAAGTAAATGTTGCTTCTGTTCTTCATTGCTTGTAAACTGGAATTGAACTCTTGAATCAATGCAACCTCACATTCAGCCAAGTCATTTACAACGTTGAGAGATTGCGCATGAGGTTTGCTTTCTTAATACTCTGGTTGAGATTCCCACTCACTGGATCGAACCGCAAGAATTTCTGGGATATGCCAAGAATCGTAAAAAAATAGAGATTGTTATTTGTAACAAAGTTGTGAAATTTCTTAGTAGTCGGATGTTGAAATAATTGAATTTGTTTTAGAGGATCATCTGAGCCTTCAACTTCTTGTAGTGTCACTACCATTGAGCGCTTTTCCTCCTTTTCTTTTAGTGACAGTGTTATCAAAAAAGCCAAAGACAACAAGAGTTTCAGAAAGATACCAGAGGTGGCACTTAAAGGCTGTAGTGGCAGCTTTGGCAATTTCGGTGTTTGGGTATTGAGATAAAGCACACAGCAGTGCAAGGTCTTGTCTTGGAGCACAGTTTGCAGCTGGACTTTCAAACCAGTATTTCAGATATACTTTAGCGATGAACAGACTTACTTCTTGCAGGTGAAGCCATATTTTCTGACCATAGGAAAGACCTCTAGACTTTTGACAACTGGTTCCTGGGTGTAGTGATTCATATTGTTTGCAATATAGCCACATCTTTATAGAATAAATGACCCTTATCATCCAACGAGCCCTGTGAATAGCACCAGGGTACCAAAGCCATATTCCAAGTTAAGGTGTGCCACCCAAGTAAATATATGAAAGTTTAAGTTATTCGCAGTAGTCATCACGAGGTTGAAAATTATTCAGCTGAGACTGCAAACTTGATGACATCATCCTTCTAAGGTGCGATACAAAATTAGTGCAACTGCCGGATCAAATTTTTCCTTGACTTCCAAGCTGAAAAGCTTGCGATGTTTCATGCGGGCTTGTCTTATAGAGCTGGTACTAATAATGACTTCTTCTACATCTTGCTTTAGCAGTCTTGTAGATGCCATTGCAGAAAATATATGGGCAACATTTCTGTCATAAATTTAATCCTCTTCAATCTTTATAGTTGACATGGTATCCTGATGGGCAATATCAAAAAGATCATTTAGTCTTTCACAGAATTCCTCCTGATTAGACAGATTTATTGAACTCTGATTGATATTCTTCTTGAGACACTGCCATTCAGAGTGCAGTTTACATGTTTAACCCCTTGATTTCTGGCTTTTTTTGGAATTTGGGCTATCTCCCATATCGGCAACAAAAGTTAAACAGATTTCTCAATATATTCTTTCAAACTCATGTGCTCATCAGCGTGATAGTTGAATAAAATTTTCAAGACATTGCCACATTACAGAAGTTTAGAACTTTAAAAAGTTTCATTTGTTGCACCGACTAACCAAATAGAACTTGCTGAACCTGTACTGTATAATTGCATCAGAGTTCTGTTCATGCCTCAGTCTCAGTGTAATAAAACTGAAAATAATATAAATATTTTTTATTAAAAAATGCATTGAACAGTAGTATTGAGTGAGGACAATGCACAAGTTAAAAAATTCCACTGGTTTTATCAAACAAATAAGCTTTCAACAGTCGCCAAAAAAGATGAAAACTAAACCAGTAGACTCCAGTCCAGGTATAATCTGACAATTTGCCAATACAAAAACATAGTTGTTAAACTCATTGTATCATAAATTGTTTGTGTTGAAATGAAAACTTACCTGACTTTAGTATTCTTGCAATGTGTTCACCAAGTTAAAAATACAATGAAAAAGAAAAAAATTTACTAAAATCACAAATTTTAGCAATATTTACAACCAAAATTCTGCTTGTGTAGGTCACATGACAAAATAACTAAAAATATGCATTTTCATTAATAAGTAGGTTATAAAATATGTATTTAATCAGACAGTTGATAAAATAAGCGTAAAACTGTGTATTTTGAACTCTACGTGTTGAGCAAGTTCTAAATATTAATTTAATTAGAAAATATTTTGGCTACTGAGCCTTTATATGTCACATTACCAAATGATGGGTTGGTGGAAAATAAATACCTTATGAAAAAGTTTTTCATTGAGGATAGGAACACCCTAATATATATATATATATATATATATATATATATATATATATATATATATATATATATATATATATATATATATATATATATATATATATATATATATATATATATATATATATATATATATATATATATATATATATATATATGTTAGGGTGTTCCTATATTATTGATCTTCCTGATAACCTTTAATTTTATTTATGATATTTAGCAACATTGTTATTTTGGGGACAATAGTGAAATTTTCGTACTATTTTATAAGTATTTAGATTTACCACATAAAGTTAAAACTTAACACATTTTTCATAACACTTTTTAATTAAAATTATTTCTTTCGAAATTTATGTGAAAATTAGAATATTTTTATGATAGAAACTTTTAGAATATTTTAAAAAGTAATATTATTAAAATTTCCTATTTGCACTACAACTTGGAAACACAAGTTTTATCAAACATGTTTTTATCAGAAGAACAAGTTAATCTAGTACTAAAAGTATAGTAGGCTTTATTCAATACCTTACTTCAAGTTCCACCACTACACCATCATTAAGTATTTGGTATTAATACTGTATTTTGGTAACATTATTATTAATTATAAAATGATTCAATTATAAAAAATAAAAAAGTTGAGCAAAATTTTACTAAAGTTTCTATTTTTAATAGAAAACTTTTAGAAAAATATTTGGTTTTTTTAAGGTCATCCGAGAGCTAGCTGGTGACAAAAGCTTGGAAAGATTTCGAGTAGAATATGAAAAATTACATTATGCATTGAAAAAATCTTATGAGAGTGAAAAGCGACTAATGGTAAAATGCAGAGAATTGAATGCAGAAATAGTTTCAAATGCTGCCAAAGTTTCTGTTGCTTTAAAGCTTTCAGAAGAAGATCAATCTACAATTTCATCATTAAAAAAAGTAAGAGAATTTTTTTAATGTTTAAAAAATATTGAGTTATAGTTTAAAAAATGTTAGTTATCAGTTATAGTATTTAAAGTTTAAAAAATAATGATACTAAGTTATAATATCATGATATTCTATCACAATAAGGAAATAGAAAAAGCATGGAAAATGGTTGATGGAGCACATGATAAAGAAACAAGGGCTCGTGAAACTATAATGGCACTTAAGGAAGAAATAAGTAACTTAACAAATTTAGTTGAACACGGGAATGGAGTTAATGGGAATGAGTAAGACAAATTTTTTTTTAAATACTTATTTTTGGCATCAATAATTAGTATAAAAAAAAAATAATAATCAATCTTAATTTTTTCCCCTGTTATATTGTAATTTTATCACTTGCTATTTTCAACTAGATTTTACTGTAATAAAATCTTGATGTTTTACCACTTAGAATGACATTTTATCACTTGAACTTTATTATTTTGTCTTGTGTATTATATTTAACAATGTGAGCTGTGGTTATTTTTTTTTTTTACCAATGGAACAAATAAATACATGCATCAACTGGCTTAATTAGTTAAAATGTGCAGGGAGTGTGATGGATTGTCTGATTTATATAAGTAAAGCATGTAGGGAGAAAACATTTATCGAAAAAGGTTAGAAGTAAGGTTAACAGTAAGACTGCCTGCCCTAACCCAAACCCTCAGTCAATGTGCACTAGGGTTATGACATTTTTTAAATCTGTTGTGGCCATACTTCTATAATCTGAGAAATGTTGAGTAATTGATAAAAACTGGTTTATTGATTGTCTAGTTGCAAAAAATATACCCCCCCCCAAGTTAATTATGTGATTTTTCATATATTACATGAGGACATGTAAAACTTATTTCCCACTCATTGATAAACAGCCACAAAAATAAATAAAACAAACTGTAAATTATATTTAAAATTTAAAAATTTTTTAAATTTATGCCACCTTAGTGGATCAATAAAAGTAATTATTTTCTGCAAATTAGTTAAATGCTTCACAGGTCATTCTTTCCAATAAGATTCACATTTGCATATTCCCATTTTTTTGAGCAGTGATGTTTGTCCTTGGAATATGAAGTGCACTATCTTCTTTGCTCCAGTGTTTCATAAATTACTTTAAAGCAACTGTACACTTAAGTTCAGTCAATGTATCTAGCATATGGTCATACAATTTATCATCAAATAATTATTTGCTGAACCAAAATTTTGTTTCATCAACTTTTAATAAAGGTTGCTGCACTTTCAAGTTCACACCTCTATGTTGGTATAAAAAAATAGGTAATAAGAACATATATTACTCTAGAGTTCCATCTTGCACTGTTTAACAAAGGAAGCTAATGCCACTTAGTATGTAGTAATCTTTTTTGATTCTTAAAGTAACAAAAAGTTTCACATAACTTATAAAAGAATTTTAAGTCATCTCACCATCCTAGTTTTAAAATGAGATCCAGTATATGATGACATCCTAAACATTGTGGTTTAGTAAAGCCTCTTTTTTAAGAATAAAACAAAAAATATCATAGGATTTTCTACTTTCACATTTAACAGTTCCTAAATTGATTTTATTATTCTTATTTTAAAGTATCACAATTTGGCATTCAGTCTTCAACCCTCAGAATTAGGGTCGGCATTTGGCAATGCTGACCTAACTGCCGACCTAAAAGTGTTTGAGGTCCTCGTTTCGATGTTTTATGGTAAGACCTTTGTATCAAATATTTTTTGCCAACCTGATGCGAACCACTAAAAGATTTAGGTTGGCAAATTATTGCTGACCTCAATTTTCCTAAATCCGAGAATTTAGAATTGTTAATTTTCTTTCCATCAAAATTTAGTCTTTCTTTCCACTTGCTTTATAGTTGATCTCTATATTTCTTTCTGACTTGGAGTTTCTATTTCAATACCTTTTTCATATAACTTTGAAGGTTGAGCTTGTTCCTTAATTTACATATTTCTATATTAACTAACTTTACTCTTTCTTATCTGCTTTTTTCAATTGATGCCAGGTAGTTCTAACATCCAATAATAAAAGATTTTTTTAGCATTCTATAATAGTAGTTAATGCTTTACTGGACAAATCCAGTGAGTGTGATTTCGCCCACACTATGACAGCAGTTATGCTTGATTGCTGTTCAGCCAGCAATCAAGACCTCTTTTAAAACAATTAACAGACTTTGCTGTTACAATTTCAATCGGAATAAAATTTTATGTATTCGCAATTCTGTTAAAAAGAAAATGTTCCCTCAAAGGATGTTTAGCGAATTCTTTGTGGTGTTTAAAACAATGCCCTCTTAAAGAATTTTTAACTAGTGGAAAAGACTTTCTTATGTTTGTTTTATCAATACCATGCATAAGTTTGTATAGTGCTATCAAATCTCCCCTTTTTCTTCTCTCAGTTAAGGTTGTTAAGCCTAAAGCAATAAGTTGATTTTCATAATTGAGATTGCTAATTGATGAAACAATTTTAGTTGCTCTGTGTTGTATTTTCTCAATCACATTACAATCTCCTTTCATATAAGGAGACCAAACTGGGCGAATAAAGAAATCGTTTGCAAGCTTCGATTGTCAACTTATGAAATCTCTTTATTTAACATTCATTCGTCCACTTCTTGAATTTTGCAAATTCAAGAAGTGGACGAATGAATGTTGCAACGATTTCTTTATTCGCCCTAGCATTTGATTTGCTTTTCCAATTGCCATAGTTACTTGATCTTTCCATTTAAGATTTGTCAAAAATATAACTCCAAGATCTCGTTCAGACTTAGAATCATGAAGTTGTATACCATTAATGAAAAGTGGATAATTTTTATTAGTTGAGTCATAATGCATGACAACACACTTGTTTATGTTGAATTTCAGCAACCAGTCTCGAGTCCATTCAAATGCTTTATTCAAGTCATTCTGGATTTCTTTGACACACAAATCTGAATTTACTATTGATAAAATTTTGGTATCATCAGCATATAACTTTGAAACATTTTTGATTGTGTCTTGAAAATCATTAATATAGACAAAAAAAAGGAATGGTCCAATTAGTAGAACAACATCAACTGGAGTATGATTTTTGATGTTTAACGTTATAAAATCAATTGTTTCTAAAAGATTTGTTGTGCATGATTTATTTTTTATGAATCCATGCTGATGCTCTGTTAGCAAATTATTTTTGTAAAAATAAGTTTCAATTTTGTTAAGAATAATACCTTCAAGTATTTTGCACACAACTGACGTGAGGGGAACTGGTCTATAATTAGCTGCAACTGCCTTGTCACCTTTTTTGAAAAGAGGAGTTATATTTGTAGGTCTAAATTGAATTGGAAGTTGGCTTGAAGCTAATGATTCTCTGAAGATTAATGTTAACGGAAGTGCAAACGCCTCTGAAGCATTCTTTAGCATGGCAGGATGGAGTTTATCAGGTCCGAAGGCTTTATTTTTGTTAAAACTCTGAAGCAAATTTTCTGTTAAACAAATCTAACGATTTTTAAATAAAAGCTAGAACAATTCTTGATGTTATACGTTTTTCAAATAAAAACTAAATTTTTTGTTTATACTCTTAAATATTTATCAACAACAGTTTTGCTATATTTATTTGACATATTAGAAAAATCTAAAATTCATGGATATGTTATTAATATTCTATGTTTTAGTATGATTTTTATAAAAATACTTTTCTTTAAAAATTTACAGTGTTAAAAATAAAATTAATTAAAAAGATATTGAAATGCAAAAAATACATAATAATGATTATAACATAAAACACATAAGTACTATTTTCTGTATTTATTTTCAGTTCAGAGCAACATATTACACAAGCACAGAAAGTAGTTTTACTTATGCGTGTTTTATGCTTTATGTCTTATTTAAAATCAAGTACTTCAACAATAATCATAAAAACAACACAATAATTTTAATAACATAACTTTATTGTGCATGGGCTGGTGACATTTTTAAACTATATTTAATATTACTATGAAATTTTAATATTAATTATCATTTTTTCAGGTTTTTAAGCTAAGGCTTAAATTAAAACTGTGACAAAAGTTAAAAATGTTATAACCCTAATGCACACTCTTATTCTGAAATGTTTTGGATAGTAATTTTATTTATTTTCCAAAACTTTCCAGACCAAGCCATACCTCAAACCTGAGTTTAAAGTTATGTCAAGAAAAATTGCTAATTTAAAAAGATGGAAGAAGATTAAATAAAAATTGATAAATTTGTAAATGAAAAACCAGAAAAAAAATATTTTTTTACAAACTTTTGTAGCTTTTTGATCAGTAATAATTAGAAAGAAATATAAAATTGGTTTAATAAATTTTTTTGGTACTTCTTATGCTTTGCTAATACTATCATGATGATAGTAATAGTAATGGAAAATTTTCTACCTTCAGATGTTTTAATTTAAGGATGCAGGAACTTCTTAAAGCAAAAGAAATTCTTACAAAAGAAAGGGACAATAAATATGAGGAAGTTGTAAAAGTAGGTTTTTTTTCATAACTATAACTTTTATAGTAGCAAATTATTGATATTTTTGTATTTGTATGACAAATTTATTAAAATGATCACAGTTTTTGATCATTTTAATAAATTTAGCTTTACTGATTATGTTTTTTGTTTTAATTTAGCTGCGTAATGAGCTTGCTATTGTTTCCGAAGCCTGTGCAAAAGCTGAAAATGAGAAATCTGAAGCTTTGTTTAAAATTTCAGAAGTATTTGCTTTTTAATTTTGTAAAATATTTTATACTGTTAATAAAAAGTTCCTAGTTCCTAATGTTTTAAGTTTTTCAAAGTTCTAAATTTACAAGGTTGTGCAAAAGAAACTAATTTAAATTAACAAAAATTAAAAAAAAGAATTTTTGAATATATTTTAGTATCTATATTATAAGCTAATTTAAATATTCAGTGTACTAAAGATCCACCATTCATTTGTGTCATTTCATCATTTAATTTGTATTTTTTAAATCTGTTTCTGTAAGAAAGGATTATTTTTACTTTCATGTATTCCAAAGATATTTCTTAAGTTATGTTAAGAATTTATTTTTTAATATTAGATAGGGTCATTAGTTTATTTTTGTAAACAGGTCCTTTAAAATATCTAAAAAAATATATATATGCAGTTAAATCTGGCAATTACTTTATGTTTTAAAAGACCAACATTGTTTTTCTTTAAGTGTTTACTGTTGCCTTATATTCTTAAGTTTGGTACTTCCAAATAGAGTTTTATTAAGTCTATTTATTTGATAAAAATAATGTTGTTTATTTTCATCAAATAGATATTTATGAAAATAATCATGATTATTTTCATAATTATTTTGTTAATATAGCTTAAAGAAGAGATTCAAGTTAAAAGCAATGAAGGTCAGAGAGAAGCACGAAAAAAAGAAAAGTTGGAACTCGAATATCAGCAAGTGAAATCTGATGCAGAGTCTAAAAATAATGATCTGAAATTAAAACAAACCCAACTTCAAAAGCTGCAGGATGATTTGATTCGATCAGAGCAACAGTTTAAAGAACAAAAGGTAATATGTTAAAGAACATTATTTTTCACTTGAAGTATACATATAAAAACACATATACATAGATGTAGCAGTAACTCTCTTGCATGTTCTTTCAATATCAATCAATGTATGCCAATGTATCAGTTGATCTAAGTATGCTATTATATGTGTGTATATAGAGGAGAGTGATGTACCTTGGAGGTATGTTTACCTTGGAGGCACATTAATTGTGCTGCGTTTTTAAGTGACAAATTTAAACTCAAATATTAGTTGCATGTATTTCCCATTAGCGGCTCATATAAAGTTGTTACACCACTTCTTAACTCAAGTTTTTTTTCAGTAAAAATAAAAGTTGATATAGCAGCACTTCCTTATAGCAGCAGTCTGTAAGGTAGTTAATGTAGCAACATTCTATGTTTTACAATAAAAAAGCAAAACTTAGATGTTTTACCTGTTTGTCAGTCAATACAGCGACACTCCTCTCATGTTTTAAAAATATTATAAAATAATAAAAAAACAAAAACAGTATTAAATAAAAAAACTTTCTAATCAATAATATTGCAGTGATCAAATTTCAAGTTATTTTAACTTAAAATGTCATAACTTGGCCAATTCTTATCGAAATACATACATCTTGGTATCAAAAGATAGGTCTAACAAAGGGCAATATGTATATACAATTGGGGTACAAAGGGTGCTAGAGGGGCATCTACAAAACCTTTTATTATATTGAAAAATGTAGATTTTATAAAAGAAAATATTATTATTGAATTGTAATTTATAATTTTTGTTTGTATTTTTTAATATTTTCTAATAGAGTACTATCAAATATGATTTGGATACTTAAGTTGATAGGCTAGAAGTCTTTTTGGTTTTGGGCGCACCCTCTGACCCAATATCAAGATTATTACTTACTATCTTCATATCTAAGTTAATGCAATTTAGCATCAAAAGAAAGAAAATTTTTTTAAATAAAAGTGTGAAAAGGGTGCAAGGGGGTATTATTTGGAAGCTCTACACCCCTCACACCTTGGGTAGGGTGGGTTAAAACTCAAATATTATTTTTTTGTAATAATAAATAGTATATATAGTATAAATAAAACATAAATTTTTCATAAAACATAAAAAAAATTATACAACTATATATTAACTTAATATACACATTATACACCTATCAATAAGTGTATACAGATTCAGCTAAGTGAATCTATATAAACTTATTGACAAGTATATGTATAGTTTTTAATAACTACATTTCTGAATCTTCTGCCATCCCTTCTGCCACCAGGAGTTTTGAACTTAAAATAAGGTCTTTACATCCATTCTGGGCCCATATGCGGAAGGGCCTTTTTGATTTAGACCCAGAGTGGCTTCGGCGCCAAACTAAGAAATCAGTCCTAGACAAGCCTATATTTAAAAAGAAAAATTAAATTAGTGTTTAAAAAATTAAAACACAGTAAAAAACTTACTGAGGAGGTCTTAATTTTCAACTGGATGCCATATGGCAGTCATGACGTGGATAAAGCTGGTAAATTTAATTTTTAAAAATTTTAATATGAAATAAGTTTAATAAAATTTATAAAAAATAGTGTTAACCTATTTATAATTTTTCTTTAAACAAACAAAGAAATAAATAAAATAGGTCTGCAGTAAATACTCTCCAGCAACGAATAAAAAGTATAACTCTATTATAGCTCAATTTACAATTTATCATTTTTTTATCAATTTATCACGATTTATAGGGATAATACTTTGTGGTAGATTGCTTTCATCTAAAAAATTTACAAATCTTTTTTAATCAATCAATCTATCTATCTATATATATATCAATCAATCAATCTATCTATCTATCTATATATATATATATATATATATATATATATATATATATATATATCTATATATATATATATATATATATATATATATATATATATATATATATATATATATATATATATATATATATATATATATATATATATATATATATATATATATATATATATATATATATATATATATATATATATATATATATATATATTAAATGATATAGAGCAAGATTGCCAGCCAAGTGGTTTATTAAGTAGAAATGTGACAGCATTTAGTCCCAAGAGGTTTTACTGATGTAAATCTAAGTCATGTTGTCTAGCATCTCATAATTATTTAGAAAACACATATTTCTGATAATATTTAGTGTAATGTGAACCTACAAATATTTTATGCTAAGTGCTATTTCTTTGCTTAATTGTACTGATGTTATTGTTTTAATATTTTGTATTGATACACAGCTAAGCTTACCTTCTCTTAGCCGTCTTTCGCTAAAATCGATTATAGTTAGTTTCCTTTCTCGACCCAACTGCTATTAATCATAACAGCAGTTTGGTAGAAACAATCAAAAGGCTAGACAGCATTTGGTATGACCATAATAAAATTTGTTCAAATCACTAAATCTTTAGTGTTGTTAATAATTTTGCTCATTGAATAAGATTTTATAGTTGGCTTTTTTTTATGGTTGATCTCATTGCAAAAATGATATTATGATAAAGTAATGTTTGTAACATAATCATGTTATTATTTTAATTCATGTTTAATCAATGTTCCTATGCTTAAAATTTTTATAAACATTTTAATTTATTATGATATGGTTTTCTTTATAATAAGCTGTGCTTGTTTCCCTCTTCCTGTAGATGATGGCTGTTATAACTGTTTTTGAAAAGCACCATAACAGAAATTTTGATGTCTTCAACATTCATTGTTTACTAAGATTGACAAATGTTGAAAAATGTTGCCTTTTAGTCGTTTTTTTGTTTTGCTTGTTTTTTTAAACTTATTACTAAAATTTATATATAAATATATATATTTTTGATATTTAACTTTATATCATTGATATATTTAAATAATTAATTTTTGGCAGGACCTGCGTATAATAATATTTCCAAAAAATGTATAGTATGCCTATAAGAAACACCCTTTAAACTGCACCTGCATCACAGGTACTGTTTAATGGATGTACCAATTCAATAAAAAAACATCATTATTTTTATATTTCTATTCACATGCAGTCAAAATACATTTTGACTGTATGGTGTCTTTACTATTTATACTATACTTTTTATTTTTAAATGTTGCTCGTAATTAACAAAACATTTTTACATTCACTCTCTGTTAACCCAATATAATGTTTATTAGGTACTTGTTTATTGGTTATCTGATAAATAATATATCATCTTAACAAATAGTGAATGGAAAAAATGCTTTACCAATCTTTTAAAAATAAAACGTATTCAAAAGTTACCTTTCTGCCAAAATATATATTGGATTTGATAATTTTTTTTATACAAACTGTATTATTTTGTTGTGTAGATAAGTGTTCTATGTGAGAAAAAATATTTTTTTGTTAACATATTTCCTGAAACTCTTAAAGTGCAATAAAAAAATAAATTGATAAAATGTATACAGAAAGATATATTTAAAAATCAGAAATAAAGAATTAGTTACAATAAGGAGTTTGTTGATGAGTCATTAGTTTTAATGGATTATTTTTTTAAGTTTAAAGTCACAGTGTTATGGTCTCAAATTACTAACTTATTTTTTTTTAGGTCCTTAATGAGCGTGTCATAAAAGATACAGAGCTGTTAAACAATAGATTGTTAAAGCTGCAACAGGACTTTGATGCTCAGTTGTCTGGATCTGAACTTCTTATGCAAGAGAACAATCAAAAAGCCATTGAACTACGTGTAAATTTTTGTTTACAATTTTCAATACATATATATATATATATATATATATATATATATATATATATATATATATATATATATATATATATATATATATATATATATATATATATATATATATATATATATATATATATATATAGTGATTTTGTCGGTTATCCGTTTCAAAAATCGAACAGTTCTCATCAATTTGTGGTTAACCAACTATTTGGTAAATTAGTGACACTTTCTGAATACAGAATCTTCTAAATTTCAATGAACATAGCGTTTTAAACTAATTTTTTAAAAATTAATGTTAAAGTGTACATTTTTTTTGTACATACAAAGTGTACATTTTTTGTACATAAATTGTACAATTAATGTTAAAGTGTACAAGACAGTGAATACAGTCCTATATTATATATTTATAACAAAACATGGAAAAAGATATATATATATTTTTTTTATTATAGTATAATATACCTTTTTAATTATATAATTAAAAAAGGTAGGAATAATGTACAAGTATAGTTTAAATGTTTTAATATCAGCGGATATTTTAAAATCATTCTCTCATATAAAAACATTTGATTTGGAAAAATAAGATGTTATGAAGTAAATTTTTTTAGCTTAAAAACTTATTGTTATGCGGACATAAATGGAAACTTGAAGATAAACTTGAATGTTCTCAAAACAACTTGTTGCGTAAAGATAATATAAAGAATATTTGCTAACACTAAAATACCGCCAAATCTACGAATAAACAAATTCTATTGGCTCAAAAAGTACGCTGAATAAGCGAATTAGAGTTCCATAATATTCTGAAGAAACTTTCTTAAAAATGTATTGCTTGAGTTGTAAAAGTAATAAATAAATCTTTGAGATTTCTATTGTAAATTGTTTTAAGAATATATTATCAAACAAAACTGATTAAATTAACATTTAAATTAATAAAAGAAATATATTATAATCTTTGATAAATTAACATTTGTCAAACTATAATCGTCATAATTACAATGTTACTTTCTGTAAAATTTCGTGAAATTTTTAAGTCGGTTTTTATTATTCGAAAATAGATATTTGATATTCGAACAAAATCCGGTTAACCGCAAAACCGGATTACCGGCGAAATCACTATATATATATATATATATATATATATATATATATATATATATATATATATATATATATATATATTATATATATATATATATATATATATATATATATATATATATATATATATATATATATATATATATATATATATATATATATATATAATATATATATATATATAAATATATATATATATATATATATATAAATATATATATATATATATATATATATATATATTTATATATATATATATATATATATATATATATATATATATATATATATATATATATATATATATATATATATATATATATATATATATATATATATATATATATATATATATATATATATATATATATATATATATATATATATATATATATATATATATATATATATATATATATGATATATATATATATATATATATATATATATATATATATATATATATATATATATATATATGTATATATATATTTTTTAATTCACCTCCTCAAGGCCGAGAAGGCCACTACAGACGAGGAGGCTACTTATTTGTGGTTATAACCCTCTCTCAACTCTATAACTCCGAAACACGAACCTTGATGAACAAGGTTGCTGCGCGGAGAAACGAATTGAGCGCAGTACTACCAGGGACGTGGTGGTGATCGAACTTGGAACCACTCGTTTATGAAGCGAGCGCTCTACCACTACCGCACTATATATATTATATATTAGCCCTCAGAATTAGGGTCGGCATTCGGCAATGCTGACCTAAACGTGTTTGCGGTTGGCAAAATAAATTCGGTTTTGTTAACCTCATTTCGATGATTTATGGTATGACCTTTGTATTTGTCGATCTGATGCCGACCTCTAAAAGATTGAGGTCGGCAAACTATTGGCAACCTTAATTTTCCTAATTCCGAAGGTTGATATATATATATATATATATATATATATATATATATATATATATATATATATATATATATTTTTTTTTAATTTTATTATTATAGTTAATTATTATAGAGTTATAGAGTTGAAAGAGGGTTATAGTCACAATTAGGTAGTCTCCTTGTCTTGTGGTTATTTTGTTTTGTTCTTGTTTAAGGAGTTGATTTTAAAATATGCATTTTTCATTAATATTTTCTAAAAATTTGATTCAGGCTAAGGAAGAGGAGGTGAATGCTCTAAAGCAAGATAGTCTTCGATTGACACGCCAGCGTGAAGCTATTCAAAGAAAGTTAAGGACAGTTGAAGATTTAAAAATTGAAACTGATTTTCATAAAGAAACACTGAAAAATCAAATTAATGCGTTAGAAAAAGGTGATTATTTATTAAGGTGATAATTTTGGTAATGTTAATGATTCAAATTATTTATGAAGATGATGGTTAGTGGTTCAAATTGTTTATGAAGGTGATGGTTAATGGTTCAAATTAACTATGAAGGTGATGATTATTGGTTCAAATTTTTTTAACTCATGAGAAAACTTTTTTGTTTACTAAAAAATGAAACTTTATTTCAGTAAGTTTTTTTAGAGTTGGAAACTAGCAAAAAACAACAAGAGATGGATAAAAAAGCAATTGATGACTTTGTAAGAGAAAGAGATATTTTAAATAAGGTATTATGATTTAAATTCCAATTATTTTAAAGTTAATATTTTATTTTTAGTGTACATTTTAAAGTTTATTTTCAGTTATACATTTTAGAGTTGTCAAAATCCATTTATTTATATAAGAGAGCACGGTGCAAATCTTAACTGAAGATAATTTTTGTGCTGGACTCTTTTCCAGAACCCTTATGCATTTAAAGTTTAAGTACGGCAATTTGGAGACACTTTCAAACTATGCTGTCCATAAATATTAATTTTAGTTACTTTTATATATGGTTAATATGAAAAGAATGATATAATATTATAACATCAACAGTTTTTGATTTAAAACATTTTTTTTAACTTGTTAGTACAGATTTCAACTTTATTTTTCTGTTTGTTAAAGATTGAAAAAATCAGTTACATTCGTCAAAGTTTACTGAAGTGAAACTTCTTTATAACCATTATAAAATATATTGTTATGTAAATTATTTTATTACAACTATTTTAATTGATATTGTTTAATAGATTTTAATAATATTTTGAATTAGGTATAATACAGAAATAGTTTTTACTAAAGTCATTGTAAATATCCTACAATGACAAAAATTTTAAAAATATATTATATGAGGAAACACAAAACTTTATTTATCTATGTTTTTTGTTTACTTGAACACTAGAAGAGCTGGATACATTCTTTCTAAGATAAAAAACTTTTACAAGGTTTGAAATATCTAGTACTTCTACTGCTCTTCCGATATTTTATTAAAAATAAAATTAAAATATTCTCCGTTTTTCATGAACAAGTTGTATAGTAAAATTGTACCTAAGTCTTGAAATAAACTCTGTAATAATAAAACTCTGTACCTAAAGTCTTGAAATAAAAGTAAATTATTTTAGTTTATAAAAAGTTAAATAACATTAACATTTGAAATTTTTTGATATAAAATTCTTTCAATTTCATTTGCTTCAATAATACTTTGCATGTTGATTTTAATTTTAATAAAAAACTCAACTCATTTTTTTAAATTTTCTTTTAAATAAAAATTGCACGCAGCATTATTCACTTATTAAAAGCTGCATCCCGCATTTTTTACTAATTATTATGAGTTGCATGCAGCATTATTCTTTTATTATGACAAGTTTATTTATAAAAGGAAGGTTAAATATATTATTAGTCAAGAATACAAAATGCAAGAATAATTCTAATGGTCTAATTTTAGAACTTATTAAAAGCTGCTGGATCGACTCAAAAACAAGTTGATCTCGTTCGCCTCCATGAGCAGGCAAAAAAAAATTTGGAGGTTGAAATTCAAGTAAGAATAGAGTAATTTTTTTTAAAGTTATTTGAGTATTTATAAGTTTTATATATTTTGTCCTTAAATCAGTGTGCAAAATATTTTTTTGATAACATTGCTTAAAATTTTTAAGTAATTCTTTAATATTTTGTTAAAAGAATTATAAAGATGAAGCATCAAAACAACGTAAAATTATTTTCCAAATGGAAAAAGATAGAGATCGCTACATTAACGAAGCAAGTGAACTCACACAAAAGGTATTGTTGCACATGGAAGATGTCAAAGTTAGAGAAATGGAAATATTTGATTATAAAAAAAAAATTGCTGAAGCAGAAACTAAACTTAAGCAACAACAGGTAAAGTATATATTTTTTTTAAACAGTGATTAGATAAATAATGGCAATACACTTATTTATACATTTACTATTACATTTCATGATTTATAGAAATCATGAAAAGTTTAACACATTTACTATTACATTTCATGATTTATAGAAATCATGAAAAGTTTTACACATTTACTATTTCATGATTTATAGAAATCATGAAAGTTTTACACATTTACTATTTCATGATTTATAGAAATCATGAAAAGTTTTACACGTTTACTATTACATTTCATGATTTATAGAAATCATGAAAAGCTTTACACGTTTACTATTACATTTCATGATTTATAGAAATCATGAAAAGTTTTACACATTTACTATTTTCATGATTTATAGAAATCATGAAAAGTTTTACACCTACCATGCTTCATATTTTGTACATAAACATTTTTTTATACATAATATTTTATTTAAAAAAAGTTTGATTTAAGCACAGTTTTTTTTTCATTAAATTATTATTATTAAATTGTTATTAAGTATTTTAAAGGTGTCACAAAAATGTTTAAATCAAACAATTCTACAAAAAGTGTTTCAAAAACTTTATTATTGACAAAGATTTGTTGAAGAAACCAAATTTTTTGTTTAACTTAAAATGTAATAACTTTATTAATTCTAATAAAAATTTATTTTTTATTGACATTTCACGTTTTTATTTGGTTTTGTCAAGTATATTCTACCAAAACACCATTTAATATGATTGGTATACCTTGGGTTGGGTTGATAGAATTCTTTTTGGCTTTGGGTAGTAAAAGTTGCATTTTCCAGATCAATCTTTTGTCAAATTTTTTTATTTTCATATTTAAATGCATACTATTTAGTGTCAAAAGTAAGAATTGTTTGAGGTATAAAAAATACATACTAAGTAGATGTAGAGTACATTTAACCTGAGTTCATGCATGTAAGTTGTGATTTTTATAATGCATCAAACCAAACAAGGTTAATTTTTACTGTAAAAAAACTCTTCATATCTAGGTAATACCTGCTAGAATTCAAACCCTCAGTTGATGTATATACCTTAGCCCCACTGCTCCTTACATTTTTAGGGAAAAAATTAGGCAGTGGTTTCATATATATATATATATATATAAATATATATATATATATATATTATATATATATATATATATATATATATATATATATATACATATATATATATATATACATATATATGATGTATATACCTTAGCCCCACTGCTCCTTACATTTTTAGGGAAAAAATTAGGCAGTGGTTTCACATATATATATATATATATATATATATATAATATATATATATATATATATATATATATATATATATATATATATATATATATATATATATATATATATATATATATATATATATATATATATATATGATATATATATATATATATATATATATATATATATATATATATATATATATATATATTTATATATATATATATATATATATATACAGCAACGTATCCAGGCCGATTTTGATACCGGTATACCGGTATGGGCCCCCAAATTTCAGCCCAAACTCAATTTAAAACAGTTTTATATTAGCATTTGTTACGATCACAAAAATACCAACATTTGAAAAACGATTTTTAAAATTCATTATAAATGTATTTTAAGCCAACCAAAATGCTTAATTCAAATTCACGTTGATGAAATATAAAATATGTTGTAATTGGATTAAATGTAAAACGCACGTTTTGATTGGATTAAAATATGAAAGCATTTTTAAATAAATACATTAATTTAGCATTTTACACAATGAAAAACTTAACCATCTTGGCTTTACTTGGGATACACAAAAATCTTTATTTGCCTCACTCAATAGAACAAATATTAACAATAGGATATCAAAATTTCAAACAACAGTGCAAACTCTGATTCAATCTGGTATCCGGTTTGTACATCCATCTTTGATTATCTATAACATATACATCGTTAGCAGTTCCGACGCTAACGTATGGTCTGGAACTATGTAAAAATAGAGAGATAACAATGTAAAGACTTAATAAACTTGGAAGAAATGCAGTTAAGTCATTTTTTAATGTCTCCAAGTATAGCAAAAACTATATAAACTCTATTTAAAGTTCGTGAGATATCAAGTCACATACAACAAAATAAAATAAACCTATTTATTTGTCTATTAAATAATAAAGTAACTTTTAAAATCATTAATTCTCAGCCTAACTGATGTTCAGTAAAGTATTTATTTTTAGATGACATAAAGGAGTTATGTAAGATCCATAAACTTAATATGAAAAACCTAATTCAGGATAAGAAGAAAGTGAAAGTTGAAATTTCAGAAAATATAATCCCTAAAGGTACTTATCAAATTCTAGTACAGGCACTTGAATGTTGGAATTCAAAGCAACAGCGAACAATTTTCAAAAATACTCTTGAAGAAAACATTCCAATGTGATCTATTTAATTCTCTCTTTTTATATTTTAAACTATTTTAATGTATTTTTACCTTGTAAACATATTTACAGAGGGCGTTTTAATAAAATGATAATAAACATACAATACAAAACTTAGCATTTTTAAATAAATACATTAATTTGAGTTTCTCCTCCGCTTACGTTTTCATAACATAATTTTTGAAGCGGTTAAACTAGATTAGCTTTGAACCTTTTTATTTCAAATAACAGTAAAAATTATATTAAAAATACTTTAAATAATAAAACGAATGAAAGTTTTTAAAACATAAAATTAAAATAACATTTATTTAAATAATGAAATAATATTTGAATATTCGCGCCAAAAAACTTGACTTGAATAGTAAGAGTAGAACTAGAAAAAAAAGTTATTAATTTTTGAATGAAGTAATTAAAATTTCGAATGAATTTACCTTGTTATAAATACGCTATGGGATCGTCCATAAATTACGCAACGCAAAAAATATTTTAAGAACAGGAGTAGGAGATATTAGGCTCTTTAACGCGGCGATTTTCATTTCCTATTTTGATTGTTTATTTAAATCAAGACTCTGCGAGGGAAAACTTTTGATCTTTTTTTGTTTTGTTCTTTGTGAAACTTTGCGTTACATAAAATATGGACGATCCCTATGTAATTAATCTTATCAAGTTTTTATCAAAGAGTCATACAAATATTTTTATTAAACGGTAAAGTTATTGCTTGTTTATGATCATACTCTTTATATTTCTAGTTAATAATATTTATAATTTTGAATTAAATAATTTAATTTAATAATTTAATAAATAGTATTAATTATAATTTAAAAATAGTAAGTGAGTGGAGCAAGTAAATGAAAAGTAGCGATTAACGATGAATCGATGTTGAAGTTGAAGCCTTCGTTCTGTAATAAATGAAACATTATTTTGGTCAATTATTTAAATTTTTGTTAGAAAAAACCTAAAATACTAGGGTGAGTTATATATTATATACATATAATTGAATTTAAATTTTAGTAAAAAAAAAAAAAAAAAAAAAAAAAAAAAAAAAAAAAAAAAAAAAAAAAAGGTCTCTAGGGTAGACAGGAATTTTAGACCGGTATGCCCAAAAAATTTCTGGATACGTCAATGATATATATATATATATATATATATATATATATATATATATATTTAACATTTTCGCTTCCAATAAGGCTGCAAGTAACCACTATTAGAGTTGGAAGTTACTGGATAAGAAAAGATAAAATTTATAGAGCAAGATAACTATTGACAGACAACTTAAAAGATTGCAAATTATATGAATCAGAAATATAAACATTAAACAGGTCGCTAATATTATCAAAAAAATAGTTTTTCAAAAGTATGTTGTGTCTAAAAAAAAAACAATATAAAAACTTCAAAAATAATCATCATTTTATAAAAAAATTATTATTTTAGATTTCACTGCCTAGAAAATGACATTTTTAAATTAAAAACTAAAAATATGCATAAAAATAAATATACTAAAAATAGGTACAAGTCATCAACTGATTACGAAAAGCATGTCTGTAGTTTAAATAAAAAAAATTTCTCACATCCCATCTTGAGTCAAATAACTTACTGTCAGACAAGCAATACGGTTTTTGATCCTTTTGCTTTACGGCTGACTTTCTAACTACTGTGACTGAAATATTTATTGTGCATTAGACGGAGCTGAAGAGGCTAGGGCTATTGCTCTTGACATATTTAAGGCTTTTGACAAAGTTTGGCATGCTGGTCTCCTTCATAAGCTTGTTTGATGAGGTGTATCTGAAAAAGTTTTTTAGATTATTAAATTGTTTTCTTCTAGCAGCTTTATTAAAGTCATCCTCAAAGGCCAATACTCTTCTTTATTTCCAGTTACTTCTGGGGTACCTCAAAGTTCTATCCTTGGTTTGTTTTGTTTTTATCTACATTAATGACAACCTTACATCTCAAGTAGCTTTTTTTGCTGATGACTAAATTTTATACTCCTGTCTTGACAAAAAGTCTTCCCTTCTTGATTGCTTAGAACAAGCAACTTATCTTGATCTGATCTCACTTCTGGAACAGATTGTTGGTTCACAGTGGTTTGTAAGTTTTAACTCCAACAAAACTCAGGTATTTACTGCAAACAATTATAGCAGTACTGTTGACATACCTATATTAATGAATGGCAACCCTCTCACTGAGTCCTCTTCTTTATGTCTTCTTGGATTATCGTTTACTACTCACCTTTCATGGTAATCATATATACAATCAATTGCTAAATTAGCATCTGCTAAGGGTGCTTCTCTTTATTGTGCTCGCTCATTTTCTCTCTCTTAATTCCATTCTCTACCTTTACAAATCTCTTACTTGTCTCTGTATGGAATACTGTTGCCATATTTGGGTTGGTTTTTCTAATGATGCTCTTTCTCTTTTAGACAAGGTCCAAAAAGGCATTGTAAGCATAATTGAACCTGCTTTATCTATTAAGCTTGCACCTCTATCTCATTATTGTAAAGTTGCATCTCTTTCTCTTTTCTACAAAAACTTATGGCCGCTGCTCAAAGGAGCTATCATCTCTAGTTATATCAACTAAAACTCATTCTTGCTTGACTCGTCATGCAGCAAAGTCTCATTCTTTTACTGTATCTATCCCTGCATGCTCTAAAAACATCCTGCATGCTCTAAAAAAATCCTACATGCTCTAAAAGCATTTATTCATTTAATTTTTTCCCTGCATCTCAACCCTTTTGAACTCTTTCATATCTTCATGTTTTCCTGACTCATACAACCTTCAACTTTTAAAGTCTTATTTCCTTGTTCTAGAACTCTATTCTTTTTTTCTAATAATTCACAACTTAATATTGGTTGCTTGCAGCCTTGTCGGGAGTAAATCAGAATTTAAAAAAGTTAAATTAAAAGATAGTTATCTGTGACCTAAAAGCATGGGAAATATAGTATTGTACTTGTTTTAATCAAAAAAGATTTTAGCACATTTGTTGTAGCAATACTGAAGCCCTGCCACTGTTTTATCAATATATATTTACCATAGAGGAGAACCATATAAACAAATTCAATATAATTTAAACAATTCAGACTTTACTCTGGTAGAGCATAAATGAAAGCGTCTAATTAGATTATTCGTACGTGTGTAAAACCCTTCACCTCCTTGGTTATATTAAGGTCATTGGTTAGGTCATTTTTAATTATATGACCAAGGTTTTTAAGATTTTATTTATCTTGTTACGCATAATTCTGGTAAGGATTTTGATATAATTTTTGATTTTTGAGTTGGATTAAATACCATACATACCGTTTTCTTGATGTTAATTAAAGAAGGTTCTTTATTTGTAAAGCTAATTAGTTTTTGAAGAGAAAACCAAGAAGGTGCAATTAGAAACATATCATTAGCGTAAGCCAATACATTCATGAAGATGCAACCTATATTACATCCAATATGCAGGTTTGAGATTGTTAAAATCAAATTGTGAAGTAAAAGTTAAGTAAAAGTGGCAATAGTATATTACTTTGACAAATCCCATTTCCAACTCCAAAATTACTTGATTTTGTTTCCTGCCATCGAACAGATATTTATTGATTACTATACCAAAATGCAAGCAAACAAACAAGTTTTTTGGGTAACCTATTTTCTAGTAATTTTTGAAACAGTTAGTAATTGAATTCTAAATTGTCAAATGCTTTATTAAAGTCTATGAAACAAGCAAATACATGACTTCCTCTGGATGTATAGTACTGAACAGTATTTTAAAAATAGTTTGAGCATAATATTGTTGAGTGATTTTGTTTGAAGCCAAATTTTTATTAATGTTTATAAAAAACAAAACCTTTCATTGTAAGTTGAGATATACTATTTTGGAAAGTGCTCTTTCCACATATTAGGAGTATTACTATCACCAGTAGCACCTCCAACACTAGCAACAAAGTTTACTGCATTATTGTTACTGATCTTATGCACATTGTTCTAGAACTTTCTTGAATCTGCGTTTGTTCAGATTTTTTGCACATAAGTTAGCTGGAATTTTTTCATCATGATATTTACAATATCTAAGAGCTAATTTAAAAGTAGCACAAGATCGCTTCATGTTTTCAAAAATGTCACCCTGTTTCTTCTTTCCTTGAAAAATCCATTGCTTGAATGCATCCCTTGCAATGTTGTATATATCTTTAACATTCATTCTAACCTGGAATAATATATTTATGATTTTTATGTTTAAAATTACAATGAGGTATGGTATCAGATACAGCAGGTTGCATAATATTTATGATGTTGTTATAGAATAAGTCAATATCGTAAGTTGTATTGTAGCCATTTGGTATATTTTTAGTAAGTAGATAAAGTGGTACATATACGGATTTCAATAAAAAGTCTACTTTTTTTTCATAACGTGCTGAGGTGGTTTTGTCACAAATTTGCCTGTTAGGAAATCTAGTTAACATATTAAAATAAGGTTTTATTTATTTCAGAAGAGTTTTCTAATGAGCAAGAAATCATGACTGTATGTATATTATCATATATATATATGCATATATATATATATATATATATATATATATATACATATATATATATATATATATATATATATATATATATATATATATATATATATATATATATACATATATATATATATATATATATATATATATACATATATATATATATATATATATATATATATATATATATATATATATATATATATATGCATATATATATATATATTATTATATGCATATATATATATATATATATATATTTATATATATATATATATACATATATATATATATATATATATATATATATATATATATATATATATATATACATATATATATATGTATATATATATATATATATATATATATATATATATATATATATATATATATATATACATATATATATATATATATATATATATATATATATATATATATATATATATATATATATATATATTTATGTATATATATATATATATATATATATATATATATATATATATATATATATATATATTTATGTATATATATATATATATATATATATATATATATATATATATTTATATATATGTATATAAAAGATTTTATTTTAGAATTTATATGAAGCTGTAAGAAGTGATCGTAATTTATGCAGTAAAAACTTAGTTGAATCTCAAGATGAAATAACTGAAATGAAAAGGAAGCTAAAGATAATAAATCATCAAATTGATCAACTCAAAGAGGAAATTACTTCAAAAGAAACTGTAATTGTTAAAGAACATTTAGAACATCAGAAAATAGAAAAAGAAAAAGAATCTTTAAAGGTTTTATCTTTTAAAGTTTTATTTTTTTAAGTTTTTTGAAGTTTAAAAAAATTTATTGATTTATGTTATATTTCATATAATATTTGTATTATTGTATTATTAATTTTTTAATGATTAGGCAGAACTACAACTTTTAAAAAAAGAGGCAACTGAATCTAAGACATACATTGAACAGCAACAAATTGAAGAAAGAAAACTCACAAAGATTATTCAAGAAGCAGATACTGAGCGTGTAAAACTCAAAAAAGAGTTGGATCAAGTTATCAGTGAGCGAGATATACTTGGAACCCAGCTTGTTCGCAGAAATGATGAACTTGCACTTCTTTATGAAAAAATAAAAATTCAAAAAAGCACTCTTGACAAAGGTTCTAAGTTATTTAAATTTTTAAAAATTATTTTTAGGTTATGAAACATTGCAGATAATAGTTATGTGTCATATACCTGGAAATCTTTTACTGAAATTTTAAAAACCAGTGAATAAAATTTGATCTAAAAGTGTTACATACTAAAAATTTTAGGTTCAGAACAATCTTTTTTAATAAATTTTTTTTTTTAAATTTTTATTCAACCATATCAATAAAATTTACAAATTTCATCGTAAATTAAAATAAATTGGTCAGGTGTCACTCATATAGTTACAAACTAGTCAATGGAGTGACACCTAAAAAACATAAAAATTTCACAAAAAAATAAATAAATAAATAGAAAAAAAACAAACAAACAAAAAAAAAAAAAAAAAAAGGAAAAACTCAACATCTGTATATATAAATAAGAGAGGAAAGAAAAAAAGATTGTTAAACAAATAATAATGATATATGTAATAATAATAGTAATAATACAAAATAATAATAATAATAATAAAGTACCAATAATATTAAGAATATTATAATACAATATAAATTGTATGTGCAAATCATAGATGATAATTAGATATAGTAATAACATAAAATATAACATTAATAACACAATAATAAATAAATATAAGATAGGTAATTCACAACCATCAAGGCACTGCTACTATTTATGTTAGGATTTAACAGAGAGCAAAGAAACAAAGAAAGTTTCACAGAAAAATCACAGAAAACTCCTAAAACTAAATCATGAAAGCAAGATTTGGAAAAAAACTAGAGTAGAAATTTTTTTTTTTGCACAGATAGTCTTAGTATATGATAGTACTAAGATCAGGACAAGTTTATTAAATCCAAGAAATTCGAATTGTTACTAAAAGATGTTATCATGACTAAAAGTTCACACAAACATTGAGGCATTGCCTAATTTAACTTTATTGTATCCCAGTTATCCAAGTTATTGGAAATGAGGGTTGTTTATTAAAGACAACTTTATAAATATAATTCGAAAACAATGATTCAACAGTTTTAAAAACTTTTCTTTAATACACTAAATGAAGCTATTTTATTGCAGCATTCCATTCTTTATTGGAATTCATTGATATGTCAAGAGAAAAAAATCATATTCACCACTTAACACAAAACATTATTAAACTCAAGATAAGATATTAGAAGTTTGTTAACAATAGATTCAAAGACTGACAATAATAAGAAGAAGGCTGAATTATTTAATTATTAATAAAGTTAGTTAAAGTGGTTAGCAATCTCCAGAGTTTTTAATAATTAAAACCACAGATGTCATTTTTCAACAGACAGGAATGTAAGATTCAGTTAAGTAGTTTAAAGAGAAACGACGAGAGTTTTAGAGAAAACTTTTGTAAGACTGTGACAGGAGTGTTTTTAGAACAACAAGCTGTAGAAATAAGAAATAACTTTAGCAGTGAAAATTCAAGTAATTAAGATGTCAAACAGTGAAGTAACGTTCTTTTTGTGACCCCATTTTCTCTTGTGTGACAGAAAGAATGTTGTTATTAGATTTAAAAGTTAAACTAAAGGCAAGGTGCTTTGCAAATAGTTCTGCCTTATCCTTGGGAGAAGTATTAAATCAGACTAATGTCTAAAATATGGAATGTCTGAAAGATGGAATATCTGATGTCTGAATGTCTTATCTTTTTATTGAAATTGTTAAATTTTTCAAAAGCCTCTAGAACCCAACCACTGAAATAAATATGAGGCTTATGAATTATGAAAAATAAATCTGAAATACTTGTAATATACATCTGAAAATAATGGACCTTAGCATCAGACCAAACTTTTTTTGAATCAATTTTTTGCAATGATATAGTAATGTCTATTTTCCATTGTGTATTTCTAAAAAATATAAAAAAAAAATCCATACAACTAGAAGCGTAGAAGTAGGAGAAAACCATGGTCTTCAGTTTTGAAAAACAATGGTCTTCAGTTTTGAAAAACAATGAGGAATGAATCATTCCATCTGATTTTAGGAGATTATAGTAGAGGTTTAATTTTCAGCAGAGAGACAAAAGACATCAGCCAAAGAATCATCACAAAGAAATTCAAATGATATATCCTAATCACCTACAATGTATTAATAAAAAGTAAATCAAATGTAGCAGTTGTACAAGATAAAAGTTTTAGAAAATTATAGAATGATCTGAACTACCTAAAGAAGATACTAAGTGCATGGTAATATCAGAAACAATACACAAAACAAGAAGTGAAAGTAATTGATTAAGGTTGTCTTGGAAACAAGTCACAAAGTTAGTTCTCTGAGTTAGAGATTAAAAAAGACAAAAATTTAAACTCTAAAGCCAGCAAGGTCAGTATTACTATGACCAACCTATTCAGTTTGATGAGCATTGCAGTAACTAATTTTAACAATAGTTGCTGAGTGATATTGAGATCAAGTTGATCAGATAAAAAAATGAGAAGAATGCAGTCTTTAGAAGAAAGATAATGATAAAAAAAAATAAAGAAATGATTATGTTAAGATGTGCTTAGTGAAAGTACATAAAAGAATAGCTATAAGATTCAAACCTTTTTTCATAACAAATGGGTATATTGATACATAAGTATATGCCATGACAAGCAACTGATTCATTTGAAATGTTTGTAAATCAAAGATATAAATATATATAAATAAAGAAATAAAAAATAACTATCGACACTGATAGCCAAAGAAAAAACACAAAAATGTAAATTTGTTTTACAAAAAGTAAATAGGTCTGTTTAATTTTGCTAGAGGTTAGTTTTAATAAATGAAAAGTTACTGTATTAAATAAAAAATGTACTAAATCATATTGTGTGATATGAGGTATGTAGTTTAAATGAAAATTGTACTAAATCATATTGTGTGATATAATGAGGTATGTAGCTTCTTTATTCTTTTTAATTATTTCTACGTTTTAACAAAAGGTTTCTTATTCGGCTTAAGGAATGCATGCCAAAACGACTAAAAGGGGATCTTTCATTTGCAACATGGGAAATAGTCAGATAGTACTTAAATCTGGACAAGTTTATTGAATCCAATGAATATTCCAGTTTTTTTCTGAAAAAAAATTATCATGGCTAAAAGGGCATACAAACATCTACACATTGTTAAAATATTTTAATGAGTGAAAGGTCTATTAAAAGTTTATTGAATGAAACATCAAGTGACTGTTCAGTCTTACTTAAGTTTGATGGGTAAACAATGTTTCATAAGTTTGATGGGTAAACAATGTTTCATAAGTTTGATGGGTAAACAATGTTTCATAAGTTTGATGGGTAAACAATGTTTCATAAAGTTTGATGGGTAAACAATGTTTCATAAAGCAGAATCACGAAAGAACAAAAGAAAAAATAGGAGTTGTTTCACATTAAAATGTACCACATCAAAATCCTGAGTTTTACTTAACTAATAATAGTGATGCTGAATTTTCTTCAGATATTACTGAAGGAAATAAATTTTTGCAGTAAAAGAAAAATCAATGAAAATCTAAAATAATGCTTTTAAAATAATTGTTTAGGTCAATTAGCTGGGTCATAGTAGCTGGTGATTTGGTATTAGTCAAGGATAACAATTAAATGTTTTGGAAAAGACTTTGGTAACAGGTAGAGTTTGACATTAGGTTTCTAAAACATTAGTTCATAGAACAAAATCAACATAATAAAAGTATATAAATCACTTCAAGAAACTTAGATGTCACTTATTTCACTTTGCTTCATAAGCAAGAAGTTCCAAGTTTGATTTCCACTATGTTCCTAATAGTACCGTGCTCAACTTGTTTCTCCACGCAACAGCCTTGTTTATCTAGGTTTATGTTTTGAAGTTAAAGAGTTAAGAAAGATTTGTTGCAATTTTATTAAAAAAAAAACTTGAACTTTTTTGAGTTATTTGTATTATAAACATCTCAACAATTTTCAAATTTATGAGCTAGCTACTTACTATGTATTCTTTTTTGAGAAAAAAAATTAAACAATCATATACAATCAAAAAGATTTAGAACTAATTGACCTAAGCACTGTATATAAGGAAAACAGAGAAAACTTAATAGCTGAGTGGCCTAGAAAAATACTTTATAGCTGAGTGGCCTAAAAAATACTTTAATTCACAATATATTGGCAAGTACAAAGACCAAAGCGTTTTTATTTTTTGATAGTAGTTTTGTAGGCTCTATTATTAGTAATCGACAGGAACTAATATTTTGCCGGAAACAGAACCGAAACCGAAAATTGATTTTTATTATTCTTAACTGTAACCGGAACCAAAAATCAATAATATATATTGTTTTTAAAGTTAGTTTTAATTTAAACAAAATAGTAAGTTAATAAAAATAACTAATAACAGAATCCAACAACTGGAAGAAATTCTCAACAAAAAAGAAGTTTTAAAAAATATTTTGGATGGATTCTGTTTCTTTCGTTTGAGAGAATATCTCCAGCTATAGAAAACAATCTTTTAACACCTGTAGATGTTGGAGATGGTGTGAGGTACTTTTTTGCCACCTTAGTCAACACTAACTTGATTTTGGAATTTTCATTTTTTTTATAGCTTTTCCAAAACTCAAGGCATTGAGAAGCCATTGGACTGTCCAAAAAATCATTCAACACTTCTTTTATCATTTTGGAAGATGAACCTGCATTTGGTCCTATTTGAGTTTGAGATTGCACAATAATTTTTGACATTATATGAACAAACGATGTGTTTTTTTCATTGTGGCCAGAAAGAGTTTGAATTACAGGAGACAATTCATCTATACAAAATTGTCCGTTTGGGGCATGGTGTTTAGCATTTTGCAAAGCACATTGAGATCTGAAAAAATACCATTTGTATTTTGGATCGAGTAGAATAGCAAATGAATAATGTTCTGTTTTTTCAATTGCTGAAAAACATTTTTCCATTGCATTTTTCATAGCAATTTTTAACTCCTGAACACTGATATAACTAGAGGTTGTTTCCAAAGCTTAAATTATTGTTGTTACAATTGGAATACAGGAACTGATGCAAGAGTCAACACCTGACAACATTTTTGTTGTCTCCTCAAAAACACTTAGAATGTTCACCACTTTTTCTCAGAGGCTCCAATCTTGGACAGAAAATTTAGTTCCCACTGAAGGAAATTTGATTAAGTTGGCAGCAATGCTATTTGATCATTTTTTACAATAAAAAAATGATCAAATAGTATTAAATAAGAACCATAAATGTTACAATAAAAAATGATCAAATAGTATTAAATAAGAACCATAAATGTTACAATAAAAAATGATCAAATAGTATTAAATAAGAACCATAAATTTTACAATAAAAAATGATCAAATAGTAATAAATAAATGTTACACTTAAATTAAATCCCAAGTTGCAAGCATATTTTATTGTTTGGACTTATATGTTAAAGTAATGGAATTTAATCAAGAACTCTGGGATAAGGTGAAAAAAAATTTAGATGTCTGTTAAGTTTTACTTCAAAGTATGTCTTTATGTGTGTTACTTATTGTATTTCTTGAAATGTTTTGTCATTTTTTTTGAATTTTTAAAAGATTTTACTGAGATATTTTAAAAAGATTCTAATTTGAAATAAACCTAATGGTACAATTATTTACTGTTTAAACCTAAAGTTTAAACAGTAAATAATTGTTTAAACAAAATCAATTTAAATTATAAACATAGCAAAACATTATATTCTTTACAAAAACATTATATTATTATTATAAAGAATATATATTATTATTATAAAAGAAAAAAATATTCGCCAAAAAATATTTTTTGAAAAACTATTTAGAAACTAGCGGTTTTCTTAAGTTTGATATAGCAGCACATACATGCAGTATATTATTCATGATTGGTAGATAC